TGTGAAAAAAGTGACAATGTTAAAAAGCTGTCTCTTATACACATCTAGATGTGTATAAGAGACAGGGTATATGTAAAAATCTATGCTGAACAAAGTTTTTTAGATTTATTTTTTCATATTTTCAATAGTTTATGAGTTATGTGACAAATAATAACACACTATCAAAATTAGGCTTTAAGCTGACCTTGGTAAATAATCAGCTGGCACACAGCGTATTATGGCAGTGTAATCAGCTGGCACTGTGGTTGGCTTAACACATAAACAGCCGGCAGTGAAAGGGTTAATGTATTGGTTAAAACAGCTGCTTTAAATGTTTCATTTTTTTTTTCAAATGTTAAATTTTCATGTTTTATAAATTATAAATCGTTGAGGCAAATGGATCATGCTTGGATACTGGCATTTTTAAAGGCTCAGGACTATACGAGGCTCTTGATCAACATACTGCAAATTTTCCAGAATCTGAACCATTCCCTATTACGATCAGCCTATATCTTAGTCTTTAGTAGGAGATGACGCTTTTGGTCTTCGAACGTGGCTTATGAAACCCTACCCCATCCGAAACATAACCAAGGAACAACGAATATTGAAATACAGGCTGTCCAGGGCACGCAAAGTCGTTGAAAACGCATTCGGCATATTGGCTCACCTGTTTGGATGCCTACTCACAACTATGCAGCAACACCCGAAAAGAGTGGAAAGCGTTGTGATGACCTGTTGTGTGATGCATAACCTCATAGCCATAAGATAACCATGTGAGACTGCACAAATGGTGGACATTGAAGACACAAACACATCAAGTGCTCCCTGGTACCTGGCGAGATGAGGAAACCCTTTTAGGATTGCAGACACGTCGGAGCCGCAACACTTCAGGTTGCAATACAGTTTGCAACCTGAACCTGTTTGGTTTGAATTATAGGTGTCGTATGTTGTAGGATGATACTGCTGATGGGTATATCCAGTGTCTGCAGTGTGCAGAGTTGTGTAGGTTGAAGGCGTGTTAGATCTCATTGAATGCGAAAGTGGCTTCTGCACCTCTTGCTGTTGTCTTTGAACTTCTTGGTGGTGATATGTGTATGGTTATGGCTTCTGGCGTGTCTGTTTTGAGCGAGTACTGTAGTTATAAACCATTTTGTGCACATCTATTGTGAACTCCAACCACAGCTCAGGCATAATCTCCACTACCTGAGTAGAAAGATATTCACAGTAATGGTGAACGGCCATTTCATGTGCTGTTTTGTGAGTGGGAGTCATCAGGCATTTTCTCTCCTCAGCAGCTTTATCCGCACGGTGTAGCTTCTTAACCAATTCAGTGGTGTTGTATCTGCTTGTATTTGGTGGGAGCCTGAATTGGTGGATGTGTGATTGAATCTCCATCAGACAGCTCAAATTCAGCATCACAAGGTTGTTGCTCTTCTGCTGTTGAGGTAGATGCGTCAGGCTCTGACCTTTTATGAAACTGGAATAAGATAATGAAAGGATGTTATTTAATGCCATTATATTATCATCACTATAATTTTTAAATGTTTTCTCTTGCAGATTGTACAACTGACTTTAGCAACTTATGGATCCAGATTGAACACAATTACTAGTTACAAGCCTGATTGAGGTTAAAAATTGAAGAAAAAACTTTAGGAGAAATTAGAATTAATTTGTTCTTATCTGTTGGCACTGTAAACCTTGAAGTCAGTACATAATAAATCTCACATTTGCCACATCAATTATTCGTTGGCGGTAAAGTCCACTGAGCATGTGTGTTAGAAAGTCGGTTAACTGTGGCACTCTGAAGACTCTGAAATCTTGTCCTTCAGGACCCACATTGCTGCCTCAATAAAGTTGTTTGTATTATTACCTCTGGTCATGAGGTTATCCCGCATGCACAGTGCCTACATTTCTTTTCTATATATATTATATCCAGTCAGGTATTTCTTGAATTTTCTGAAGTAGTGTTACAGAAAAAAAAACCCTATGCCTTAGAAAAAAAAAAATTCTTTTACTGCCATAAAATGCATGCTTAAGGCAAACATTAAATTCATCACACATCCTACTCTTAAATACTATGTCACCAACCATCACATCCATGTAAAATTAAAATCAGTAATTTTTTCCTTCATGGTTATTGAACATCACATCATCGGTGACGAAAACAGTGTCTGTTTCGAACTGGACGTTTGCGAGCCGGAACCGGCTCGAGTGGGTTTCGTCCCCTCTCTCGACGAAGGCACGGTGGAACCGGCATCATCCGTTGGGCTGCAACTCCGCTCCGGTAAACACATCTTTCCGCCGCAAACAAACGGCGAAGTCGACCGCTTCGATCTATATTTCATGCCTACCTCTCCGATCTATTGCATGTGATTCATCACAACCACTTACTCTCTTGTATTGCTCTGTTAAACTCCATTTGTCCTATACATAACATGAAACTGAAGTCTTCCGAGAAATTTTGGTAGAGTGACACTGGTTTTGATGTCTAGCCTGGGGGAAAAACAATAACATAAAATCATGTTTGTTGAAGGAAAAAAAAATAAAACAAAACAAATCAATAGAATTTAATGTTTATTTTTTTGTTTTTGTTGAACAAAATACAAATTGAAAACGCCCATGTTAAAGAATATGACTTTACAGAGCCAGCCGAGAAACCCGACGGTCGACACATAGCCTATCCACGAACTGCATCTAGGCCCTCCATTGAGCTAGGCTCAAATTTTTTTTTTCCATGTTACGGCGCAGGAGGCGGCCCCATAGGGAAAGTTATACGTTCGGCATGGGTTAGGGCTACGCTGTCACGAGAAGAAAATCTTACTTACATTGCCAAAAGAAAAAGTAATTGCTGCTGGGCTAGCGTCCTATGTAGGAATATTTTGAAAGCCTCAGCTTCTCTTCACCTGCTAAACATTCGGAACATTCCCGAACTGTCTGTGTTTAACATAAAGCACAACTGTGGTACCTCACATAGAGGAGAGATAAACACAGACAGTGAGGTACCACAGTTGTGCTTGATGTTACTCTTCTGGCATCTGGCGTGATATGTTAAGTACTACGTCATGAACATTAACCAATCACGAGATAATGTTATCTTTAACTCTAACTTTAGGGCATTGCGCGCATAAACATGTCTAGACAGATGGAAAGGTTAATAAACGGTACGGTTTTACGAATGAAATAATAATGTAAATTGATAAAAAAAAAAAGGTGAGAGGTGAGGGTGGGGGGGGGGACTGGCATCGATCGAACGAAGCCTGGGTGAGCATCGTTGGTGGGCTAGGTTCCGTGACTTTTGGACCTCGCAAAGATGAAAAAAAAAATGTTTACAAGTTGTCACGGAACCTAGCCCACCCATGAAGCCCACGCTGTATTCGTCCGATCGACACGTTCCCATGGTTAAGAGATAGAAGAGCAAAAGTTCTATCCTTTAACATTGGCCAAAAAGTGACGTCTTCATATCTCAAATCAATTTGTAAATTTTTTTTTTCATCTTTGCGAGGTCCAAAAGTCATGGAACCTAGCCCACCCACGAAGCTCACCCGGGCTTCGTTCGATTGATTTGTTCCCAACGTTAAGAGATGGGAGTTTACGAATTCGAACGAAGGCGAGCCAAGAAGCGGTTTTATGAGGTGGCCTTCGTTCGAACTCAAGTTATAAAAAAAAACAAAACAATACAACAGGATCAATAGCATATATATAGATTATTTTTTAGTTTCTTTTTATTTGTTGTAAATAAATTCGTAACACTGATGAAAACTGCTCTACTGATATGCCGAAACTGCGATGAGAGTTCCACTTCGATCGATCTGCTTGGCCGTCAACGTACTCCACGACAATGAATCGAACATGGTACCGAATTCCGCCACCGATCTGTCTCCTTGTCGAATCACCACTTGAACGGTTGTGTCTCCGTGACTCCTGTCGCCTACGACTCTCACTTCGGGTAGTATGCACGTGATGGTAAGATTTTTATCCAGCTCCCTGTTCATCTGTCCCTTCAGTTTTGCAATCAGAGTTCCATCGCTGGACGTATGGTCGACGTAGATGTGGATCGTATACGTGGCGCCCGACTCGTCAATTGTAAAGAAAGTCGGGTCTGACGAGTCCAGGTTCATCCTTTCGGAGCCCTTTGTCATGACGGAAAATGTTTTCATGTGTATCTTGAATCAACCGTCGATTCTTTTAAACCAGAGTACCTTATCTATCCTTTATATAGTGTCTGTTGTTCACGCTATCGACGTCATCGTTATATAAACGTAACCTGTTGGAGGGGGGTGGTGGTTTGTTGTTGTGTTGTTTTTGTTGTTATATCAGAATTCCTCGACGAGACTGAATTTTCGATTCTCCGTCATGTCCATAATGCCCATCTTTCGGTACTCGCATGTTTCTCGAAAAAGTTAGTTTTACCCTGCAACGATATATTCTCCATTAAGTCGAACGGGTTATCAGAGCCCCATCGTTTTTCACATTCCAACTCCACCAACAGTCTGTCAGCAACAAACTCGATGTATTGCGCCATCTTATCCGAATTCATGCTGATCATTCTGACGGGTAACGCGTTCGTCATAAACTCCTTCTCTATTGCTTCTTCGACGATATCCGTTATGCGTTCGGGCGACAGTCTGTTGAGGAGATGACGTTGAAATAGCAAACACGCGAAATTGCAATGCAGTCCTTCGTCGCGACTGATCAGCTCATTGGAGAACGTGAGACTGGGCATCAGACCGCATTTTTTCAGCCAGAACACGGCCGTGAACGAACCCGAAAAGAACGCCCTCCACGGCGGCAAACGCAACCAATCGTTTGCGAAGCTGGCATCCATGTTTTCGATCCATCACATGGCCCATTCAGCTTTTTTCTTAACGCATGGTATGGTGGTGGTGGAGTGAAACAGATTGTCGCGTTCGTTCTTATCCCTTACGTAGGTCTGAAGCAACAGACCGTACATTTCGGAGTGGACGTTCTCGATGGTCACCTGGAAAGAGTAGAAATACCTGGCTTCAGGAATCTTCACCTCTCAAAGAAAATGTTCCGCGAGGTTTTTGTTCACTATTGCGTTGCTGGCCGCAAAGAACGCAAGCACGTGTTTAACGAAGTGTCGTTTGTGTTCGTTCAGACCATTCCAGTGGGGCATATCTTTCGAAAGGTCCACCTCCTCGACCGATCAAAAACATGCACACGATTTTTTGTACATGTTCCATATATCAGTGTACCTGATGGGAAACAAACGAGAGCGTTGATGGTGAAAGAATAATCCTGTTCCGACTCCATTATTGTTGATCGTTATAATGAACCGTGCCACCTTTATACAATTTTTGTTTTTTTTTGTTTTTTTTTTCTTTTTCTTTTTCGTTCTTGATCTTCGATCGAGGATTTATGTAAAAGGGCGCCCTCTTCTTCGGTGAGCTGGTACGATCATCATCATCATCATTATCAACAACAACTCGTAAAACAAACAAAACAACATAAAAAAATACAAGTTCATTGTATAACTATATTTATTTGCTCTCTTTTCTTTGTGAGGAGATGGGGAAATGGGAAGATGGGGTGACCGGAATGGGGTTGCTTTATTCTTTTTTTTTTTATTGGAGGGGAAAGGGGGGTGGGGTATTTGCCTAAAGTACCTATTTCAAACTATTTCGTTTTTTTCAGTTTGGCAATTACCACGTTAAACTCGCATGAAATGTCCATTTTCAATTGTTCGTGCATCTCTTTAAGTCGTTCTTTTTCGTTCCACTTTAGCTCAGCTTTTTCAAATTCAATTCTCAATTCGGTTATCTGATTTTTTAATTGTTCGACTGTTTCGTCGGCAGCTTTCAAACGAATTCTAGCCTCGCCTAGTTCCGAGATCAAATCGGCCAAGCTCCGTTAGATACCACCTCCTCTGCTAAACAATGGTATTCGGATGTTCGACCTGTCATCACTGGTCGTCCCTCCGTCTCTGCACTTCTTTCTGCAACGTTGATCGTTTCGCCTCGGCACACCGCAATCTGCCCTTCTGCACGGTCAACATATCCACAACACTGACCACTTCGCACCAAAGCGGATCGTCCGGAATGGAGGCCATCGCCCGTCCGACGAAACGCCTGAGCATTGCCTGACCGAACTTTTCCCCACGTCGGTTACGTCGTTGATCACCGTAGCTACCGACGTTACGGTCGAACGGCCTCGCTCCGACGTTGCCATCGTCGACGCCATATCTCATAGCCATATTTATGCTGTTGTGAAAATTACAAAATAAAGTTTATTGCATCATATCGAAACTTACTGGTTTAACATCTATGTAAGAGGCCAATGCCTCATCAACACTTGCCCTCGTCTTGGCTTTTCTTCCAGGTGGCAGAATACAAGGCAAAAGTCCCAATGATACATTGACTTCCTTACCATCTGAGGCTAGACATAAAAAAACAGTGACAGTGCAAAATGAAGTCTAATTATAATAGTACATTTTAAATATTTCAAAGAACTCTAAATATAAAATGTTACAAAGCCACTTAACATATACTTACTTAATGTTGATTCCTTAACGTTTAAGTAGGTTTGCCAATTTCCGCCTTGTAAAGTGGCATACTTCAGTACCTCCCCTGCATACACTGGTGTCCACAACATACACAATTTGACCGACACATCTGGAAATATGGCGCGAAAATCCAATTCAACCTTTAAAAAAATAAAATTTGTAACTACTTAGTTCAGTTTATAGTGCAAAAAAATTTCTGATAATTGTATATGGAAAAATATATTATTGTACAAAGCCAGCTTGCCAAATTATTATGACCACATTGTGCTTTTCTCAATCCAAATCGAAAATAATATATAATATAATTTACAAAATGTTGAAATAACCAGTAAGAATCAATGTGATGAACAATTAATGTTAAAATGATAGTCGTCAGAATTTAATATACCCACCATGCATGTGAGAATGCAAATCCTTACCATGTTAGCCAGGCTGATAAATATTTGACCTTGTGATACATACATTATTGTAATATAGTGTCATATATATATATATATATATATATATCCCTAGTTCTTAATAGGCGGCCCGCGGGCCAAATTTGGCCCGCGTGGTCATTTAATCTGGCCTGCGAGAAAAAAAAATTACATAATACATTTTCTTTATAATTAAAATAAAATAATCTGACAGTCCAATTTTTTTTTAGAGAAGCTCTCGCGGGCCAAATGGAATCGCACCTATTTGAGACAATATTACAATATTTCGTTAGGCCTATGCATAACAAATTTCAATAACACAGACTATGAAGATTAATGTGCATTATTTTATATATATATATATATTTTGGTCCATTTTGGTCATTTTATGTAATTTATCAGATTATTTTATTTTAAAAAATTGGACTGTCAAAGAAATTAATTAAGAACCAGGGATAGATATATACTTTCAAATTTTCTGAAAATTCATACACTGAATTTTCATACACTACACGCAAATTCAAGATAAAAACCAATGAATAACTTTACAAAACATGTAGGCCAACTAACAACTGGAGAACAACTTCTCCCCATTGACCCGAAGCTTCGCATAACTCCACCGCCGAACTGCCAGTAAATGTCAACACAGTTTTATCTTATACTGCTTATGCGGACGTAATATGATCACCAATATATTCCCGCCTTATTATTGTTTACCACCTGACCTATTCCCGTCTTATTATTGCTAGCCTAATTACTGTCACTGTAAAGGAAAGTAAGTTTCAACTACCCTTCCCATCATGCTCACTGTAAAGTGAATACTAAAATTCTCCGGGAACTAAATGCCGTGTTACACCGGCGTAGGTAGGTGTAGGTGTTACATTCTAGGCTCTGAATACTGGACTCGATTGAGCCTCTAATTGTGAAATAATACGAGTGTGTGATGTGTTTTTGTTAACCTTTATTTTAACTAAATATTAACGTGTTTTAATATTCTCATTCATTAACTTAATAAGGGCTAATATGTAATGTTTTGTCATAGTGTTTTCATGCATCAGCGTGATAAACTCGCTTGCCGATTTCGATAACAATAACAAACGATGACGTCACCCAGAGGCTTCGTTCCAACATAAATAAGGAAAGGCGCTGTAAGAGCTTTCTTCCGCACTGAAACACGTCCTGTCACTACATGCTCATGCCCGGGTAATAACTCGACCGTCTCGTGTATCAGCACCCGCGGATAGAACTGGCTGCCGTC